GTTTCCCGGGTGAGGTGCTCACTCATGGGGATCCAGATCTAAGGCCGGCTCGGGGTGGAGGCGTCATCTCCCACACCGTGGGAATGGACGCCCTCGAGGCGGATTTCCGCAACCGTGCGCTCCACGCATCGGTGCAAGGCCGACGGCCTGCGGTCTCTCCGGAGGCGCTGGTGCAAGCTCTGGAGCAAGGCTGCGGGGTGGAGAGGCGACACCTCAGGGTGGAGGTCACCTATCCGACCGACTTCTTTATCTCCTTTGCATCCACGGCGGACTTCGACCGGGTGTTCCGCCAATTCGGCAAGATCTGATGCGCAGGGGCGCCCATCACCTTCTAGCGCTGGCACAAGAGTGCTCAAGCCTCGGGCGGCAAGCTTGAGTTTTTCTGCAAGATTGGTATTGAGGGTATGCCGGCGAGTGCCTGGGAGTGAGACTCGCTTAATCAGCTCATCAACAGACTCCAGGGTCAGCTGGACGAGATCCTTCCGCAAGATGACCGCTGGCAGGTAGACGTCACGGCCTGGATGCGCAACCCCTACGGCATCCCCAAGGTGTATGATCTGGAGATCCCCGAGCCGGCAGGCTTGCCCAATAAGGTGGACGTGGACTAGCTTACGGCGCGCGCCGCCGTCGGCCCCGCCCTCTGAGCGTCGGACCTTGATCCATCCGCTCACGATTCACGTGCTGGATGTGGTGGACCGCACGGTGCCATACCTGGAGCTCCATCCTAACTACGAGCCGGACAACGACGAAGACCTGACTAGGAGGCATGATTACTCCTGAAGCTGCTTCAGGGGGCGGATCGATGAAGAAGGGTGGGGAAATGCTATCAGCTCTGGGGGACACCCCTTTGGCGGACCGGGCAGCTTGGGCATCACCGGTGATTGGGCAGCCAGAGGGGCAATGGCCACCTCGCTCCCGCAGGAGGTATGGAGCTCAGGCCCATGGCGGTCTCTCCAAGCGGTGCCAATGTCACCCGCAGGCTCCAGGGCGGCTTCGTACATGCCCATCGGCGCAGGCCGCTCCGTCGCCAGATCGACGGCTTCTACAGCGGTTGGCTCGATGGCGTTCGCAGACACCCCTGAAAACCTCTCTTCGACTGGGGCCACAGCGGTGGGCGCGGAGGCCGTGGGACGAACCCCAGACCACGGCTACAGCTTGGGGCATTGCGGCCCATCTCCACGGAGGCTCTCATTCAGCGTAGCGGTCGGCGACGGCTCTCAGCAGGATACGGAGGGGGGGGGCACTAACGGACCGGCGTGCGGCGCCTCACCTGTCTCGGGTGTGCTACACCTGCCGCTCAAGATGCTGGAGCCCACGGTGTTCCGGTCGGACGAGCAGGGGAGCATGGTGAGCACGCCCTTCACTACCCCCCTGCAGCCGGATCAGCTCCTGCCTCGGGTGGACGCGGCGTCTGCACCCATGGGGACAGTCGGCCCGCTGTCTGCCCCCGATGCTCTCCTGGCGGCGATCGGGGCTTCACCCAAGCCATCAATCCTGGGTCCCCGGCCGGCTGCCTCTACCCCTGCAAGGCACAAGAAGACGTTGCCGCCCAATTTCATGCCGCACAGGAGCGCGCGGATCTCCAAATTGAACGGTGGCACGCGCCAGGGGCCGGTCGAAAGGGCTCAACCCATCCTGCTGCGTAGTATGGGGGTGATCAAGGCGGAAGAGCACTTGTCTCTTGAAGCTCTCGATTCATACCTCAATCTGTTTGACGCGCCTCTGGCTCCTCAATGCATCAGGGCGGTGGCGGCCCTCTACGACCCTGACGGTGTGGCCTTCGACGAGCCGACTCACGAGGGGCTCTCTGCTTTCGAGCTGCTGGAGTGCGTGGAACCGTGTGGTGCATAGCTCTCATGTTGTTGCTGTGGGGCGCTTCCTTCACTGGACATGTCTCTTAGTATAGTGGTGTGGAATGTAAGGTGGCTGAGTAACCCGGCCAGGCGTAGTTCCATTTGTTTGTTCATGCAAACCTGTAATGCATCATTGATCTGCTTTCAAGAATCTAAGTTGTAGGAGGTAGACGTTCTAGTGGTCAATCAAACTCTAGGGTCTGGCTTTGATGGTTTTGATGCTCTTCCTGCGCAAGGCACTAGAGGAGGGATTCTGCTGGCTTGGAGATCGGACCGCTTGAGGATCTCGAATGTTCAGAAGAGGGAGTTCTCCATCTCGTCCACAATTACATCTTTGGCAAATGGCAAAGCCTGGCTGGTCACGTCTGTGTACGGGCCACAAGAGGACGGGGACAAGATGAGATTTCTGGAGGAAATCGAGCGTTTGGGGGAGCAGGTTCTGCTTCCATGGATAATTAACAGGGATTTCAACCTTGTCAGGCACGAGGATGAGCGAAGCAATGGGAGGGCCAATAGAAGACTGACGAACAAGTTTAGGCACTCCATTAACAAACTAGGATTTCATGACATGCGCCTTATGGGTAGGAAATTCACTTGGTGCAACGGGCAGGAGAGAACCATTATGGAAAAATTGGACAGGGTGTTGTTCAACAACGCCTGGGAGGACTTGTACCTAATCAGCGACATGTTGCCCTTGAGCTCCAATGTCTCTGACCATTGTCCGATGCTGCTTTCCTGTTCTTTGGACCGACCAAGAGCGTTCAAATTCAGATTCGAGAACTATTGGTGCAAATTGCCGGGGTTTCTTGAGGTGGTGAAAGGAGCTTGGGAAGAGGAGGTTTCCAGCACCAACCCGATGCATATTCTCAGTATGAAGCTTCAACGCATGGCCAAAGTGCTCCGGAGATG